CATAATTTCTTTGTTCATACAAAATCCTCATTTGTATAATGGGTCTCCTTTAGCTGAAATTTGAGATTTATGATCATTGCATATTGGGGTGTTGCTGTGGTGGGACAGACTATCAGTGATGTTCCATCTTAAAGTTTAATTATATGTAGTGAGCAATCTGCTGATACTGAATACCCAGTAGGCCTAGATGGTTAGTTTATGCTATTGTTTGTTGATAGAAACTTTCAGTGTAAAACAATCCAGTTTGTCTACTGTTTCTGATATCCTGCCATGCACCATCTAGTAGCTGTTGTATTTTATTACATTGTGTTTGAAGCTTATTCTGAATCACATTATATCTAAGAGTTTGAAAATTAGTTTTAATTATGCCCAACTTATGGTTTAAGTGGTGATTGATTTATTCTTGGTATTTCTGCCAGTTGTCTCGTTCCTCACGACAAAAACATTCAGGGTCACYACAGAGGAACTGGGATGCKCGAAATAACCACACAAAAGACAGAGATACCTTATTCTTTGGGGGTCCTGGGACSGCTCCTCTGACCTYAAGGGTCCACAGAAAGACAGCAAGGAAGTGCATGCTGAMCCCTTTTATTGAGGAGAGGCCATTCAAATRAGGCAAGGGGTCAGGTGTCAGGGGGYTGAGTCTAGCTTCGTGATGTCTGCTGTCAGCAGGTKGACTRACATCTAGGAAGGCCACACCCAAAGGCAGAGCAAGAGAACGGGACACACAAAGGTGTTTCCATGGAACATTCTATGCCAAACAGGGCAAAGGGGTAATATCTACAAAGGAACAGGTGAGAGTAATTCGATCCCTGGGGCTGCAGGAAGGCACACCTATGCCTGAAGACACATCCTGCTACTTAGGGGAACGGGGCAATATCAAGGTCACTATGAAAGTGATGAAAGTGACCAAAAGAGCCTCTTTCCATCACAGGAAGGAGAATGCCAGTCTTTCAGGGAGACTGCCTCCCACAGCCAGTCTTCCTGTTTTTATAATATGGCATAAACTTATTTCCTGAATGGGCTAATTCAAGATTGGAAATTCTTTTACTTCATTAGTACATTATGGTGGCTCTCAGKTATACTTTTTATTTCATTCCTTGAATTCTTTAAAATTCTTTAATGGCAAGATTTCTGCTTCATTCTTTTTTTGTATCTCTTGAATATCTCCTTCAGATGATAGATTGTTTTCCTTCTTTCATTGAATTTTTTGGCCATGTTCTCATGTATCATGCTGAGTTTTCTTAATGTCATTATTTTGAATTCCTTGTAATGCATTGCACAAATTTTCTTTTATTTGGGGTTTGTTACTGAAAAATTATGTTTCCCTGGAGGTGTCATTTTCCTTGCTTTTTTTGTGTTGCTTGTGTTCCTACATTGATATCTGTGCAACTAATGCAAGGGATGCCTTTCCAATGTTATGGTAGTGTTTTTCCCCACTGTAGGGAGAAATTATTTTTCCTGTGGAAGGTGTTAGAATATTGGTTGGGTGTGCTGGGGTTACCCCTGATTTTGGGTGGGCTCAGTAGTGTGGTCTCTGTGTCTTCAATTGCACAACTCATTATCATTGTCTAGTTGCCTCCAAGGTTTGGGCTGTAGGTGCTCATGACTGTAGTGGTGTTATTGATTTTATTGAATTGGACAATTGGTATTGGAAAGAAGCTTATTGGTTTTATTGATCTTTTCATCTTTTGGCCTTGTTGACTTTCTCTATTGATTTCCTGTTTTCAAGAACTCGTAAGAGTTTTTGCCCCCCCCTTTTTTTTCTTCAAGCAGAATATTTAATTTGTTCTTCTTTTTCTATTTTTCTAACACAGAAGCTTAGATGCTTGATTTTAGATCTTTTTTCTTTTCTAACGTGAATTTGGGCTATAAATAGCTCATAAACACTGCTTTCTTAAGCATTCTACAACTTTTTCTAGGTTGTGTTTTTATTTGTTTAAAAATATTTTTAAGTTTTGTGATTTCTTTTTTGGCCCATATATTATTTAGAGATGTGCTATTCCATGTCCACATATTTTGGAACTATCTCCCCCCACCCCACTATTGATTCTAGTTAATTCCATTGTATTTCGAAAGAAGTTCTTATATGATTTCTTTGAAATTTATTAAGATATATTTTACAGCCCAGAATTTATTCTGTTTTGGTGAATGTGAACTTGAGTAGAATGTGTATTCTTTGGTGGATGAAGTAGTTTATGTAGTATATGATTAAGGATGCTGTTGAGTTCACCTGTCCTCATTTTATGCCCAATGAGTCTTACCTTTTTTTTTTTTTTTTTTGTATTAGGGATTGAACCCAGGAGTGTTTAACCACTGAGCCACATCCCCAGCTCTTTTCATTTTGACACATCGTCTCACTAAGTTGCTACGGCTGGCTTCGAACTTGTGATCTTCCTACCTCAGCCTCTGCAGCTACTAGGATTACAGGGATGCATCACCATGCCCAGCTGAATCTGAACATGTTGAAGTTTCCAAATATGACAGCATATTCATCTATTTCTCCTTGCAGTTCTATCAGTTTTTGTCTATTTTTGTTTTGAATTCTGATGTTAAATTTGGCTACCCCAGCTTTCTTTCCTTTTTTTCTTTTTTTTTTTTTTTGAGAGAGAATTTTTTAATATTTATTTTTTAGGTTTTTTTGGCAGACACAACATCTTTGTTGGTATGTGGTGCTGAGGATCAAACCAGGGCCGCACACATGCCAGGCGAGCACACTACCGCTTGAGCCACATCCCCAGCCCCCAGCTTTCTTTTGATTAGTGTTAGCATTTCTTTTTCTTTTTATCCATTTACTTTTTTTGTGTGTGTGCTGGGGATTGAACTCAGGGGCACTGGGTCACTGAGCCATAGCCTCAGCCCTATTTTGTATTTTATTTAGGGATAGGGTCTCACTGAGTTGCTTAGCACAGCACTTTAGCTGAGGCTAGCTTTGAACTTGCAATCATCCTGCCTCAGCCACCTGAGTTGCTGGGATTACAGTCTTGTGCCCAGCGTCACCCATTTACTTTATATTTTATTCATTTATTTTTTATATGGTGCTGAGGATCGAATCCAGTGTCTTACATTTTCTAGGCAAGCACTCTACCACTGAGCCACAGCCTCTCATCCATTTACTTTTAATCTATATATGTCTTTATAGTTAAAGTGGTTTCTAAAAGCTGGGCACTGATGTGCATGCATATGATCCCAGATACTCAGGAGGCGGACACTTGAGGATTGTGTGTTTGAGCCCAGCCTGGCTGACATAGTGAGACTCTAATTAAATTAAAATTAAAAAGTGGGTTTCTTTTGTGTAACTGTCAGAAAAGCATTTTTTACCTCTGGTCTTATACCACACTAAACACAGACTTTTGATGCCAGGTGTGTGGGGATTTCCTCTCCACCAGCAAGTAAGCAATAAATTCTGCAGTGGTCACCAGCATGGCCTCTAATCTAACTCAGTTTATGCTCTCTTTTCCTGGAAACCTATTAGTTCCAGGAGGTTTTTTTTTTTTTTTAAATCAATCCTTTGTTATCTTCTCCACAGGCAAACATCTCATTTTTCAAACAAAGTTTGGTTCTTTTTTATGACTAGTGAGTATCTCAAACTTCCTCCCTTACTTCAGATGCCAGCCACAAGCTCCAGATGGTTTTACCTGTGCTTCTGAATGAACAGCTGCGAACTGGGGTTCCTACAACCCTCCTTGGGTTCAATTAATTTTCTTGAATGACTTACAAAACTTGGAAACACATTTACTGGGTTATTGAAGAGGAAATTATAAATAATAAAAGAGATGCATGTGATGAGGTATCAGGGAAGGACACAGAGCCCTCTCTGGGGCACCACCCTCCAGGAATATCCACATGTTCAGATATCTTTAAGCTTCTCAAATGCTGTCCTTTTGGAGTTTATGGAGATTTCATTACAAAGGCACGATTGCTAATAGACTTTGTGGAGAAACCCAACAGACCTGTATATTCATATTCTTCTTGGCTTTCTGTGGAGCTGCCCTCCTTCTAGGGTAAGGGATAGGACCCGTGTTCCCAACTCACGAATATTCCTTTATCTTAAAATATACATTCTGGTTCACTTTTTTATTTGCTTACATTATTTTTTAATATTTTCCTACTACGAATTATGTGGGCCAAGCTCATCCTCAAATACCTTCCAGTGGACCTGACAAATGATATCTGGGCTCASGAGAGCGCTAAAATATTAACAGACTGGGCCTTAAGATTTCTTGCTCAAAAAAATCTTCCCTATTTCCATCAATCCTGGACTGTATCCTCCAGTTCCTCATGCAATCCTAATCAAATCCCCCACTCAAAAGACCCACCTTAACTCAAAAAATTTTCAATAATTTCCAATCTTACATTGGCAGCCCCGACACTTAGCCGTGTCACCATGCCAATGCTGGGGAGGTGGTGCTCTCTTAATACAGGAGATGATTCCKTGCGCCTTGATCTTATCAACGGGTTGTAATGTTGGTCTTTGGGGAGCCGGTATTCAGCACGAGTGTTCTTTTTTTTTTTTTTTTTTAGTACGAGTGTTCTTGCCTTCGGAGTCCAGCGCAGCTCAGCCTGCCATTCAAGTTTCTCATTCCCGTTTGCTTCCCCTAAAAACCGTGGATTTGAAACTGACTTTCATCATGTCAGCTTTGCTCTTCTCCCTCCCGCTCTCTCTTCCTTCCTCCTCAGTATTAGGGGTGGAACAGGAGCACTCTACCAGCCCTTTCTAGTTTTAATTTCACAGTCTTGCCATGCCATCCAGGCTGGCCTTGAACTTGCAGTCCTGCCTCAGCTTTGGAGTAGCTGGGATTATTACCTCCACACACACAACTGTTTTCGCATGAGCTTTAAGAAACGGACAACAAAAAGGAATCAGCCAGAGACGTGAATAACCCCAAACCCAACTCGCTTGAGTCAAACAATACCCGTAAGGCGCAGCGCTGTGCTGCCAATGTTCTGGGAAGTATAGTTCTGGAGGAGCGTGATGCCAGGCATTCCGCTTAGGGATTCTGGGAAGTGTAGTTCCGGAAATACGTTTTCCAAGAACTTCCGCTTTGGGATTCTGGGAAGTGTAGTTCTGGAGGTGTGTGATGCTGGTTGCTTCTGCTTCTGGGAAATGGAGTCCAGGGACTGTGGGCGGGAGGAGGCACTTCCGCTCCCAGAAGGCGAGGTCGGTTCCGCGATTGCTCTGGGGGAGGTGAGCCAGCCGCCGGTCCCTGCGACCTCTCGGAGCCCTCTCAGTCTGGGCTTGAGGCCAGGGGTGACCTGGTCCGCGGCCTGGATAAAAGAAGCCAGCAGGGAGGGCGGGGTTGGGAAGCGGCGGCGCTTTACGTCCTCGGGGGCAGAGCTTCCCGTGTTGGGGGTGGGCTTGTGCATGCATCAGTTTGAGGGTCTTCTGTGCCCTCTGCTGCCACAAACCGCCTCACCCACACCGCCGGACGTGCTTGTTCCTTGCAGTAAAGTGCTGGGCAAGTTAATCTCGTCTTGTCTCAGTTTCCTTATGGCTTTAAAGGTCAAAAGCCTGCCCAGTGGTGTTTTGCAAGAGTTCAGTGAATTTTTTTACGTATATAAAATGCTTAAAAACATTTTCATGTTGCATGCTCTCCCTCTGTTGTAATACTCAGAGTGGTTCCGGTTTGGAAATTCCTCTGAGTCCAGGATGGAGTGGGAGCTCCACGTGCAGAGCCACTGTTCGCTTTCAGATCCTTGCCAGATATGGGGTTCTGGGTTTCCCGATCTCATTTTAAGGAGTAGTAGCGGATTGCTTCCAGTAGGAGCATGGAGAATGCCCTCTGTGTTTAACGAGACAGAGAAACTGTCATGCTCTGATCTCCGCTTTGCGAGGTGACTCCTTTAATAAGTGTTACAAAACACCATTTCTTAGAGAGTTTTAAGTTTTCATTGATCATTACCTTCATGCAGATGAAAAGAGACTTTGGTGAGGTTCTTCCAGCTTAATAACTTGCAAGGAGTTTTACCTATTAGAGGTAAAAAAAAAAAATGTTGACAATTTAGTTACTATTATTGATGGAACAAATTGTGAGACAACTGGCCACAATTACAGACTTTTCTGAGGGTAGTGATTACTCACATGACAGTGATCACTCAATTCTGAGTTTCCTTAAAGATTCACTTTTTGAAAAGCACATTGCCATGGGCAGTTTTATGAAGCATAATAGTGCTTGCTTGTCTGAAGCTATAGGAAATAGCATCTGAGTATTATTATCCCTATTTACAGGTGTACAGGTGACCGAGGTGAGGCACAGAGACATTCATAACTTGCTTAAGCTTTACACTGCTGTCTGTAGAAGATAAGTACAAATGTCAGAATTTGAACCCATTATGTTACCCTGTGTATCTGCTTCCCATTTTTTGATACCCAGGTTCAGAGGTGCTCAGCATGCTAGGAACCGCATCTGGGTTAGGACTGTAATATGGATGGTTAATGAGCAAAGGCAACTGTCCGTAGCTGGCTCCTGGCTCCTGTTCTCTTCACTAACCTATGTGCAACTGTGTCCCCTGCGGAAAGGGGCACTTCTTTCTCACATGAAGTGCTTGTGAACTAACTGCACCCCAGCACTCTCTCATGATGTCTTTCCTTTTGCAGAACTCTGCCTTTTCCCAGAAGGAAGAGGAGAACAATGACCAAGATCCAGGTCAGTGGGGTTGGCCTTTCTGTTTGTTAAAATGACATCTCCTTTCACAAAGATCAGACATACTTTTTATCTTGTTTGGGAAGGGTCAGAGAGCACCAGGCACACTTGAGGGATTGTTATATGCCAGGATCCTGCCTTTTATTTCCAAATATTAGTGTAAAAACTAACAGGTTTTTTTCCAAATGAAAAGCAATTCCTACTGAAGTCCACTCTGGGTCCAGCTGACATGTTCATGGCCTAAGCCAGGTGTTTCAGATGTTCTTTTCTGGTGAATGAAGAACCAGAAGAAATGGGAGTTCTCCATTCAGGAACCTAAGGCCATACTGCATGTGTGCCTGGCACATCCACATGGACAAAGGGCTCCAAATGTAGCATTGCCCTTCACCTGGTCCCCTTTCTTACTGCCTTGCTCAGGTGTCACACTGGTCATTTATTACGTAGGTGCTGAGAATCCCAAAACAAATGCAGAAATAAGCAAAATCTTTAGAAATTTCCATGAAGAAAAGCACTATATACAAAGTTATGGGACAAGTAATAAATAGGGATGGAAATGTGAAATTGTACATGCCTGAAAGAGGTTTAATATTCTTGGTAGGAATCTTCCTGATGCACAATATACTCCAGAATGACTGAGCAAAGTAGATGAATAGACAATATGTGAACAAGTCTTTTTTTAATTAAATAAATGGAAGTTTTTAAAAAGAATTGTTTTATCACTTACCAAATTACCCAACATTTAAAAAATGAGGTAATGTTCAGTTTGGGCCAGAATCGAGAAGCTGCAGGATTTATGATCTCTGTACAGGATAAGTTATTTGGGAAAATTGCTGTTATATTAGCAAAATAAAAGTGCAATTTTTTTTGACAGTGCAGTTACCACTCTTTGGAACTTATTCTAAAGAAATAACAAGACAAGTTTGGCTGAGACCTATGTAAAAACCTGATTTTGTAGAATCATTTATAGTTTTTAAATTTTAAGTTTTCAAATTGTACATTATCTGGAATGACAAAATACACACAAAGTCATCAGTTTTATGTGCAACAATGAATATGATGAAATGGATGAAAATGATAATACTGATGATTGACATTTGTACATCAGGAATTCCCCTAAGTCCTTCACATGGGTTCACTCATCCCTTCAGGGGCCTAATGATGTAGGTACTGTTCTACAGATGAGCAAACTGAAGTATCTCAATATTTTAAAAACTTCTCAGAGTTAGATGACTTGTCCAAGTCACAAAGCAAATAGAGGACAGAGCCTTTGAATGTGAGCTGAGGCAGTAGGTTTCCAGAGCCTGTGCTCTTGACCTTGGTCCTGAATGCAGCTGCAGTTGACAGATATAGCCTGTTCCTGGGAAGACAGAACTAGTCACACACCTGCCCCAGAGGGTTACAGAGTGCCTGTTAGATTGGCAACAAAAGAGTGATAAGGTTGACTGTCCTTTATCCAAAATACTTGGGACCAGATTTCAAAGATTTTTGGAATATCTGCATAGATTTCTCTGGTTGAGCATCTAATAAAAAATCCAGAGTACTCCAAAATCTAAAACTTTTTAAGTAATGTTGTTGCTTGGAAAATGTCAGATTTCAGAGCATTTGGGATTGTGGGATGTGGTGTGTTCAACCTGTACTGCCCAGAGAGAGAAGGAAATAGTTCCTATCAGATGCTGTTGGTACAAAATATACACAAACTTTTTGACAAGATTTGGTACTCTGATTGTAACATGTAGGGACATCATGATTTACCAAAGGCAGTTATTGTAGGGACTTAACTATGTGAAGGGCAACAAGTTACATGTACCAGGAGTTTTCTTTTTTACCTGACAACCCCCAGCCTTTTGGGTTTGATTGTGGAAGGAAAATAACAGGAACTCACTTAAAGTGTTTCTCAGGTCCCAGTGGCCAGTGGGTGTAAGATTGAGGGTACACGTGCTTGATGTTATAGGAGGCAGTAACATTCAAGGACGTGGCTGTGGTCTTCAGCGAGGAGGAGCTGAGGCTGCTGGACTCTGCCCAGAGGAAGCTGTACCGAGATGTGACGCTGGAGAACTTCAGGAACCTGCTCTCAGTGGGTGAGGACAGGTGCCTGTGTAATTGGCATCAACCCTTTGAGCAGGGTTCTCCATCTTGGCACTGTTGATATTTGGGGCTGGATAATTCTTTGTTGTGGGGGTGAGCCTGTGCACTTTAGACTATTTAGTAGCATCTCTGACCTCTGCCCATGATAGTTTAAAGAGTAGAACTCCTCAGAAATCAGTTTTCCAGTTCTTTTGGAAAGTAGAGATAAGGTATTGCTGATGTTTGTTCTAAGGCAAACTTATCTTTTATAAATGAATTAGAAATGAGCAGTTGAGCTTAGGCTGCTTCTGGGTCTTTATTTCTTATCGATGGATCATGAAATTTAGTGAGTTGTGTCACATTTGTGTAATGAGAGGGTAACAGTGTCGGAGCTCCTTGGCGAGAATGCAGCATGTTGTAGCAATAACTGTAGATGCCAGCAGYAGGGGACACAGGGCTGACAGGGAAGTGATGGAAAGAGGCCCAGGGCAGGGGTTATGGCTCAGTGGTAGAGCGCTCGACTAGCACATGTGAGGCCCTGGGTTCGATCCTCAGCACCACATAAAAATAAATAATAAAATAAAGGTATTGTGTACAACCCCAAAAGTAAATATTGAAAAAAGAGAGAGAGGAAAAGAGACAGGCACTGGTTAGAAACTGAGCATTAATTCTTTTTTCTCAACAGTGTGTATAAAGTATTTCTAATGATGATAAATATTTCTTACCCTGTGTCGTGATAGAAATGTTTGATAGATGCTGCTGAGAGGTGGGCAGGCAGAGCCTACAGTGTAGGATCAGAAACAGAATTTTTCAGAACTTTTTGCCTTAAATATTTTCACTTAAATCATCTTTTCACAGGACATCAGTCCTTCAAACCAGATGTGATATCCCAGTTGGAGCGAGAGGAAAAGCTCTGGATGAAGGAGATCCACACTCACCCAGGTAGGCTCTCAGATGCGAGCTGCAGCTGGAGTCATGGTGGGCCCATGTTCTGCCTCCATTTGGTATGCTTTCTTCTCTAAACTCCACCCGAGAGACCTTAAACCTGTCACACTACACCACTCTCCTCTTCAGACCCCCAAAGGCTCTCATTCCACCAGTAAGATCCAGCCTTTGTACGGGGCTTGTACRGCCATGGAAGATTTGCTCATTCCCATTACTTTACCATTCTCCATTTTCCTCCTGTGATCTCCCTCCTTGTTTATCTCTGCTGCCCTTGTTGGTTCAGATATGATCATTATGGTTCTGCATCAGAGCCTTTCCTTTTTCTCTGGCTAGAATGTGTTTATCCAATAAACCTCCAACCCCTCTTTCTGTCCCTCCCTCCCTCCCTCCCTCCTTCCCTCCTTCCCTCCTTCTTTCCTCTACTGAGGATTGAACCCAGGGGTGCTCCACCATTGAGCTACACCCCCAGCCCTATTTGTATTTTGAGACAGCGTCTCCCTATATTGCCCAGGCTGGCCTTGAACTTGTGATCTCCTGCTTCAGCCCCTTTCTTATTTCATTGGTATCTGCTCAGAAGTCTTCATGAGAGGCCTGCGCTGATCAGCCTGCTAAAAGTGCTATCTTCCCTCCCTCTCCATGGCAGCTTGCCTCAGGTTGTGTCTAAGCACTGTGCCACCAAACTAGTTAACATATTTGTTTTTAGTCATAAAATATATCACATAAGCTTGAGCATTTTAACCATTTTTCAGCATACTGTTGCACTAAGTACATTCACATTATTGTGCAGCCATGATAACATCCATCTCCAGAACTTTCCACTGTTGCAGACTGAAATTCTGTACCCATTAAGCAATGACTCCCTGTTCTTCCTATCCCTCCAGCCCCTATTCTGCCTTCTACCTCTATTAATTTGGCTACTCCGAGTACTTCATGTAAGTGGAATCATGTATTTGTCCTTCTGTGTCTTTTTTCAGTATGTTATCCCCAGGGTTCATCTATGTTGTAGCATGCACTGGAATTTCCTTCTTAAGGCAAAGTAACATTCAACTGTGGTCTGTACCGCATTTTCTTTTCCCATCCACCTGATGGACATTTGGGTTGTTTTCRCCTTYGGTCTCTTGTTGAATAATGCTGCTATGAACGTTGGTATACATGTCTGTTTACCTTCCTGCCTGCCTTTCTTGTACGTTGATAACCAAGAAGCAGAATTGCTAGGTCTTATGATAAGTCTGTGTTTAATTGTGAGAAATAGTTAGTTTTCCCCRACAGCTGCCTCTTTTTACATTGCTACACCAGTGCACAGGGATTCTGATTTCTCCACATCCTTGCCAATACTTGTTTTATTTTTAAATAATCATCCCAATGGGGTCAAGTGGTATCTCATTGGGGTTTTGAGTTGCATTTCCCTAATGATTACTGATATTGAGCATCTCATGCTTATTGGACTTGTGTGTTTCTTCTTTGGAGAAATGTCTATTCTAGTCCTTTGCCTATTTATTTTTAAATCTTTCTTTTTTTATTGGTGTTAAGTTTTAGGAGTTCTCTGGTTTTTTTTTTTTAATTGAGTTCTGTTTTAGACTGGATTTTAATCCCTTATCATATACATGATTTGCAGATCTTTTCTCTTGTTGTGTTTGTTGCCTTTTTAACTATTTTGGTAGTGGTTTTTGAACAAAAGTTTTAATTTTTGTGGACTCCAGTTTTTTTTTCTTTTGTTGACCCTGTGTTTTGTTTTCATATCCAAAAAATTGTTTGTAAATCCAAGGTTGTGAGGCTATTTCCATGTTTTCTTCTAAGAGTGGTACAGTTTTAAATCTACATTTAGGTCTTTGCATTTTGAGTTGACTTTTGTACATGGTATAAGATAGGTTTTTTGATTTGTGTTGTTTTGCAAAAGCACTTTACCCCTAGGCTTATCTTCATTTTTTGCATGTGAATTTCCAGTTACTGCACAACCATTTACTGAATTTGTTGAAAGAAAAAATTGTCCTTTTGCCATTTATTTGTCCTACCAACTTTATCAAACACCATTTGACGGAAAGTGTGAGGCCTGTTTCTAGGCTCTTATCTCATTAGTTAGTAGGTGTTTTTGTATGTGTGTGTGGGAMGGTATACCAGGGGTGAAACCCAGAGGTGCTTAACCACTGAACCACATCCCCTGCTCTTTTTATTTTGAGACAGGGTCTTGCAAAGTTGCGGAGGCTGGCTTTGAACTTGCGATTCTCCTGCCTCAGTGTCCCAAGCTGCTGGGATTACAGGTGTGCGCCACCGTACCTTGTCTTTATGTATTTATGTCTTTATGCTAGTACTACATTTTGATTATGATAGTTTTGGAACCAGGAAGTATGCATTCTTTCTTCTTTTTAAAATTGTTTTGCTATTTAGGTTCCTTGAGAGTCCATAAAAAATTTTAGGGTGAGTTTATTTCTGCAGGGAAAAAATGTGATTTTAGTGAGGATTTTTATAGGGATCTCATGCAATGTGCAGATTACTTTGAGTAGAAGTGATAATATTAAATCTAATCTATGAAAATGAGAGGTCTTTCCATTTGTTGATGTCTTTCTTAATCTCTTTCATCAAGTAGTTTCTGGTGTACAAGTCTCTTACCTCCTTAGTTAATTCTTGTGTATTTTATTCTTTTTGATGCCATTGTAAATGAGATTTTTTTTTGGTATAGTTTGTTGTTATAATGTAGAAACAGCTGTTTTAGGGTGTTTTGTGTCCTGCTACTTTGTTAAATTGATTTATTCTATCAGCTTGTGCATGTGTGTAATCTTTATGATTTTCTACATATATCATCTATAAACAGTAAAAAATTTACTTCTTCCTTTCTAATTTAGACACCTTTTTTGTTTTCTTGCCTAACTACTGTGGTCATATTACATTCAATGTAGAAAGCATGCATCCTTGCCTTGTACTGATCCTAGGGGAAAAGCTTTTATTCTTTCAACATTGAATATGTTTGCTGTGGGTTTTTCATTTATAACTTTTATTATGTTGAGGTGGTTCTGTTCCTGATTTGTTAAATGTTTTTATCATGAAAGGATTTTTAATTTTGTTATGTATTTTTTCCCACATCAATTTAGAGGATCATATAGTTTTCCCCCTTTGTTCTGTTCATTTTGTATATTACGTTGATTTTCATGTTAAACCATCATTACATTCCATGAGTAAATCCCATTGTTGTTTCTGGGCACGTGTAGAGACTGAATGTGTGTGTGTGTGTGTGTGTGTGTGTGTGTGTGTGTGCATTCTTCCAACTCCTCCACACACTGGGAAATTAGATCTTGAGAACCAGAGTCAGATCCCATGTCAGGGCCTGAAGGGTTCTGTCAACACATGGCCTCTGTTCCCTCTCTGGGCCTCTAGGTCCCCCTGCAACTATCCTGGCCAGTGCTCACTGTGCTTTCTCATGCATTTTCTCATCCTTAATCTGCATTGGACCCAACAGACCAGCCTTCATGTATCTCACATGGATATTAGAGTAACTTCTCTGCTCCCTCCAGTTTGGGGGTAGGTACTGGATCCCTGCTTCCTTCACCATGACACACAATAAATAAAAATGCATTGAGAAGTAGCTCTGTAAACTGGAAAATGGGAAAGGCACACACAGGTGCAGAGAAGCACATGCTCAGAGGAGAGGAAAACTCAGGTCTGGCCCCTGGCTGACCATGGATCTCATGCCATTTTAAGTGTGGTTCCTTCTTGATTCAGCATTCTCCTTATCTCTGTGGGCCTTTGTTTTCCAGAGYGCCTATAACGTGACTGCAGCAAGTCTTCAGTGTTTTCATGTTCACAGCGGGGAAAGAGGGCTCGGAGCTCCCCAGGCCCCATCATTGCTGCTGGCACTTTCTGTCTTTAACTCCTCTTTGCCCTTTCAGGAGGCAGGAATCAAAGCAGGGTGGAGAGTCGTCATGAAGCAGGACTGAAGTGCCTTTCCTTGGGAGAGCTTTCATGCTGGCAAATCGAGASACATGTTGTGAACGGACTGACTGAAAGTCAAGACTGCAGGATAGACAGTCAAGGGAGGTGCTGTCAGTTCCCCAAGCAGTGCGGGGTCTCCTGCCACGTGGGAGTGGGAGAGCCCGTCCAGGAAGCTCGGGAGGATGGCTCTCTTGTGAATCTCCTTGGGGATCATCCCATTATTGAAAACCAGGGTTTTCCAACTGGAAGAGCTCAGAGTTCTTGGAGTAAACTATGTTGCAGTGAGGCACAGAACCATCAGAAAAGTTGTAAACAGATGAAAAACAAACTGTGTCTGTTTGCCCCCCATGTTGACGTTTTTGGTTGCAGTTCACACCACCACAGTGATGCGGGGCAGGACAGGGCGAAGGCTTCCCCTCTGACCGAGCATAGCCTTCACCCAGGGCCGAAAACTCAGCAGACTGCTGGACATGGGGAAGCCTCYAGGGACAGTCCCAGTCCTGGGCGTCAGCAGGTTCTCTGTGGAAAGAAGCCTCTGGCACGCAGCGTTCATGGGGCCGACCCCTCSGGCGCTCCTGCGCTGCAGACCATTCACACGGGAAAGAAGCGCTACTGGTGTCATGAGTGTGGCAAGGGCTTCAGCCAGAGCTCCAACCTGCAGACCCATCAGCGGGTCCACACTGGGGAGAAGCCCTACACTTGCCCCGAGTGTGGCAAGAGCTTTAACCAGAGCTCACACCTGTACGCCCACTTGCCTATCCACACGGGAGAGAAGCCCTACCGGTGTGAGAGCTGCGGGAAGGGCTTCAGCCGCAGCACGGACCTCAACATCCACTGCCGGGTCCACACCGGGGAGAAGCCGTACAAGTGTGAGGTGTGCGGGAAGGGCTTCACCCAGAGGTCCCACCTCCAGGCCCACGAGAGGATCCACACAGGGGAGAAGCCATATAAATGCGGGGACTGCGGGAAGCGCTTCAGCTGTAGCTCCAACCTTCACACCCACCAGCGGGTGCACACGGAAGAAAAGCCCTACAGGTGCGAGCAGTGCGGCAAGTGCTTCAGCCTGAGCTTCAACCTCCACAGCCATCAGCGCGTCCACACCGGGGAGAAGCCGTACAAATGCGACGAGTGCGGCAAGGGCTTCAGCTCAGCCTCAAGTTTCCAGAGCCACCAGAGGGTCCACACAGGAGAGAGGCCATTCCGCTGCAACGTGTGTGGGAAGGGCTTCAGCCAGAGCTCTTATTTCCAGGCCCACCAGCGGGTGCACACTGGAGAGAAGCCGTACAAGTGCGAGGTGTGTGGGAAGCGCTTCAACTGGAGCCTGAACCTGCACAATCATCAGCGCGTCCACACCGGGGAGAAGCCCTATAAGTGTGAGGAGTGTGGCAAGGGCTTCAGCCAGGCCTCCAACCTTCAGGCCCACCAGAGCGTGCACACTGGGGAAAAGCCCTTCAAGTGCGTGGCGTGTCAGAAGCGGTTCAGCCAGGCCTCGCACCTGCAGGCCCACCAGAGAGTCCACACCGGAGAGAAGCCCTACAAATGCGACACCTGCGGCAAGGCCTTCAGCCAGAGGTCAAACCTCCAAGTCCACCAGATAATCCACACAGGAGAGAAGCCCTTTAAGTGCGAGGAGTGCGGGAAGGAGTTCAGCTGGAGCGCGGGGCTCAGCGCCCACCAGAGAGTGCACACGGGAGAGAAGCCCTACACCTGCCAGCAGTGCGGGAAGGGCTTCAGCCAGGCCTCCCACTTCCACACGCACCAGAGGGTCCACACGGGCGAGAGGCCGTACATCTGCCACGTCTGCTGCAAGGGCTTCAGCCAGAGGTCGCACCTTGTCTACCACCAGAGGGTCCACGCTGGAGGGAGTCTGTAGAGGAGACAAGGTGGTGTCACCCTCAGGTGGCTCCTTCAGAACAGAAGCTTCGAAGAATCTTCACAGGAAAGCAGCTCTCTAAAATGCCATTTTAAGGAGTCAGGCAATAAATTCTTTACAAATGTCAGAGTTCGCAGATGAAGAAACACGTCTATAGATAAGATCAGTGTTTAAACCAGCGTTCCAAAGTGTCACCATTTGTGACAAAGAATCTTGATGTTTGATAGTCTTCTAGGAAAGAGATTCATGAATGAGGATTATGGGTAGGACTTTGATAAAAGAATGATGATTGACAAAATTTGATGTCAACTAAAGTGTAACTTCCACATGGGAAGACCTTCTCCCCAGATCTCTGCCATGCAGAGCTGTGGTTGGCTCCAATAGGAGAAAAATTTATTTGAAAAGTTGGTCCCTGTCCTAAATTCATACTAATTTATATGCATAAGGACTCCTATAAGTAGCCTTAATAATAGTTTCCAGAACTGTTGAAGTACAGAGTGTTATTTAATATCACCATCCACAGGACAAATGTAGACCAGCCTCGCGACTGCCCCCCTCCAACATCCAGCCTCAGTTCTTTGTTCAGTGTGTCAGTTTTGTACAGTATAAATTTTAGTGACATTTGTATTTTATAGACTAAAAAATGCTTTTAATTTAATCTAACAAGACATGACAATTTACATGATCGGAAGTGTGGGGCACTAATTTATCAAGGTAGAGCTTGACTCTTAACTCCTTGAATAGTAGTTACTGATGACAAAAAGTTTCTAAGTAAACTTGAATTTTTAATTGGCTTCTTCTCATTATTTCCATCCAGGCTTAGGTCAGCTCCTGTTTCTGTGTAGTTCTTGATCGGGGCCCTGAGGYTTTGGTAGTGGTTTAGTCTCTTCTTTCTGCTCTATAGGATTCCTGAGACTGGGTAATCGATAAGGAGCAGATTCCTTAGAGTTCTGGAGTCTAGGAAATCCAAGATCCAGGGACCAGCATGTGGCGAGGGCTTCTGAGTGCATCCTCTCAGCAGTAGGAGGGTAGGAGAGGGGATGTGGGCCACTCCCAGGACATAACAGCTTGGATCTGTTTGTGACTCGATCACCTCCTAAAGGCTCCTCTCACCACTTGTATTAGGGATTAGGATTTCAAGACAGACTCTAGGGGACATGTTCAAACCATAGCCGGCAAATTTTTATTAAATGTAATGAGTTCGGTGGATTTCCATTTCCACATTTTCACAGCATTCTGTGTGCACTTGTCACTATGAGTGAACAACGTAAGTTTTGAAAGACTGGGTGGCCAGTATGTACCAAAAAGCCCTTTTTGCTTAAGAGATTGTTCACAAAGATATCCTGAGTTTTTTAAAGTAGGGCAGTAGTAAATGGTTTGGATAAATCTTGTGTGTTAATTGCAGCCATTAAAGACAATGACATGAAAAGAACACAGGTTATTAATGAGAAAGGTTATAGCCTCCCTGGTGTGATCCAGTCAGTGGAAATGTGTGTCACTGAAGGTGATTGAGGGCACGAGGAGAATGTGCAGAAGAACATGTATCAACTTGCTAACAGTGGCTTACTCTGGCAGGGGGCAGTGGGATGATTTTTGTCTAACTTCAAAAACTTGTTTACAGTAAACTATTAGCAGTTTTACCAAAGCTGTGAAACCAAATAATGCAAAAAGGACAATCTCTTTCAGCAAAATCTTAGTTTTGTTACTTTACCTCATGGCATGTAAACCTGTGCTACAGGGGTCCATAAGAAAATGTTTATTGTAGGTATGAGCAAACTTTCCATCCATCGATTGGATTGCCAGCACTCCTGCAGCAGAATACTGTGCAGAAGGAAGTCACAGAAGGTAAATTTATGATTACTGACATTGGTAGATACCCAGAATATGTTTAGAAAAATAGTCAGAGACAGGATCTTGTATGATCATGTGCATATGTGAGTGCACATCTATATACAAACACACAATATATATGATCTTGATACTTTTAAAGGTAATAGTATTTTCTTTTACTTGTAATTTCTAAATATGCTTTAAAAACTTTTATGAACATAGAAGACTCAAGAATTATACAAAGAATTCCATATATTTTTGGAGTCTAGCATAACTGCAGTCAGACATATTGATTCACATGTTGAGTGTCTGAGCTCAAAGGACTCTTTTTGATGCAGGGGACACAAGACTAAATCAGAGTCACTCCAAGTGAATTTGGGCTGACTAAATAAAGACACACACACAGAAAGTACCTTTTTCTTTGGGTTCAGTGACCGCTCCTCAGCCACAGCTCCCACAAGGGGGGCAAGGCAGGCAAGAAAGAGAGGGAGCACGCCTCAAACCCGAGTTTTATTGGAGAGAAGCCATTCAAATGAGGCAAGGGGTAGGGTTACAACAAACAGTGGGTGTAATCCAGCCCCATCAGGGGACGCCCACTCCTGGAGTTGCTCCTCTCTTATCTGAGCGGAGGTAAGGCCCAATTGCAGAGCAGTGGGTGCAATACCAGTTCAGTAGCTCTTTACGCTGGACTTAAAGGTATCTACAAAGTTCCTGTCCAGAGCGGCTCCCCACATTTTGGTGTTGCATCACACAACTAAAGTGAATTTGGGGAATAATAAAGACAGACGGAAAGTACCTTTTCTTTGGGTTCAGGGACCGCTCCTCAGTTGCAGCTCCCACAAGGTGGGGAAAGGCAGGCGAGAAAGACCAAGGAGCACCAGCACATGCTGAACGCTTCTATTGGGGAGAAGCCATTCAAATGAGGCAAGGGGTCAGGTTTCAGGGTTGAGTCTAGCTTCATGAGGCCTTGCTGTCAGCAGGTTGACTGACATCTAGGAAGGCCACAACCATCTCATGAGCTATGTGGGGGTCATGGCAGAGCAAGTAAAAAGACCAGAGCAAGGCCCCCAAAACAGAGGGGCAACCTTGGTTCAGTCCACTTTGTGTGCTCAGTGCCCATAGTTCACACACACACACACACACACACACACACACACACACACACACACGGCCCATGGCTGGCTTGCCACAGCCCCACATTCTCATTGCCCAAAGCTACGGTGCACTCAATACCCACATGGCAGCTCCAGACATTTTGGTATTTTTCAGAAAGTCTATCATGTGGCATCTGCAGCGTTGACTTCACAGTAACTGGACATCACACTGTGACCCAAAGCCACAAAGCTTTCCTGAAGAAAGCTCACACAAATACTGTGGCCTTTTCTATTTGTCCTTGGAAGATACCGCTTCTGCCTCAGCCAGTGCACTATGGGGTCATAAGGAGGAGAAATTCCATACACATTATAGGACCACTATGGGTTGATGATAATGTTTCCTATTCTGAGTTTATTCAAATTAGACAAGTGCCCCATATGTGCACAGCACTGTTTTAGGATCTGATCTAGATTGTCCACACCCTGCAATTTAGTTTTCATGTTTGTCTTTCATCTGGATCAGTACCATAGCTTTTTGGTCTTTCATGAAGTGGACATTGCTGAAGAGTACAGGCTAGTTATTCTGAAGAACATCCCTAAATTTGGGTTTGAGTCTTCATGATTAGATACAAGGTAAGCGTGTGTAGCCCAAGTAACCCATGAATGATGTGTCACAACAGGAAATGTGTTGGCTTCATCGGTGATCCTAGTTTTGATGACTTGAATAAACTGGTGACTGCCAGGTTTCTCCGTTCCTGTTTTGTCTTTGAAAGTAGTATTTTATGGGGAGATCTCTGTATTTTGTAACTACCCCATTAGTTTTTGTCTTAGTGTTTGCTGATTCTTGCCTGAATCAATTATTATTGTGAAGACTACGAGTAGTGACTTTTGTATTCCATCACTTTTTCTGTATTTAGCAATGGCTTCCTATTGTCAGTATGAGCCCTTGTTTTATGGCACAATAAAAAAAAAAAATCTTGGATATTCCCTGCCCCAGATTCTGGAGAGATTATCTAGAAAGCTCAATTTCTTTCAGTGAGGACTGGTATAACCAAGCTCTTGGTCTCCTGTGTACTCATCATTGAGATTTCAGGGTTATGTGTAAACTACTGATACCTCCAATATCAAGTAACTATTACACAGTTCTTCTTGTCTTCTCCAGCTCCATACTGACTTCTATTTTCCAAGAGGCAGAAACAGGTCCCCAGTGTCATCAATATGTTACTCATTTGTTTAGGCGTCCAGTGTACAGCAGATAGGTTTAGAATTACTAAATATTATTGCAAAAGACAAATTTTGGTAGTATTCAAGTATTGTTTGCAGAAATTTTTAAAATCATTAGACCAGCTATGTATGGACAGAGGACCTTGTTGTAGTTATTTAATCTAATTATTTTTGTGCTCATATTCTGTGGGAAGCTATCTTGCTGAATGATTCGCATTCTCCTTCCCATGATCAGAGAGGCTCTGTCRGTCACTTTTGTAGTGATCTGGACATTGCCCYGATCCTCGAGGTAGAGGATGTGTCTTCAGGCATAGGCATGCTGTCCTGCATCCCCTTGGTCAAATTACACTCACCTGTCCTTGTAACCCTGCCCCTCCTGACCTTTTTTGGATGGAACTTTCTAAGAATGAGGGTCCCCCCAATAAAATAAAAGCTCACTTCCAAAACTGCTCGCTCTCTCTTGCCAGCCTGACTTTCCTCACTCTCCCATTTGAGGAGATTGAGACGAGAGTGGAGGAGCCCTCCTGAAGCTTGATTTAAAGGTAAAGTGTGTGTCTGTGTTTTATTTGGTGTCCCAGGAAATTCACACCAGCGACCCTTAGTTCAGCTGCCCATGCAGGTTGGGAGCAGCAATATTCATTTTTATATCCTTATATTTAGACAGATTTTTGTTAAATAATTTAATTAGAAGAAATACTGATATCCATCTTCTCTCTCACACCTTTAGCACGAGGCCTGGAAATGGGATGTCTGTTTCTCAAAGTCTGCTTCCCTGGCATGGATATTCATGTCAAACTGCCCACTGCCCACTGCTCTTCTCCATCCMGTCATCAACAATCTGACTCTCCCTTCTCCTCCCTGACAGATTTTCTCTCCACACTCAGTCTCTCCCCCCTGCCACTACTCTTATCACAGGACTTGCAGGGTACAACATCTAAAACCTGGCCTCTCAGTCCCTGGCCACCATACACTGTCATCTCACTTTCAAACAAATCAAATTCTGCAATTGCCACGTCCCTCTTGGAGCTCACCTCTTTCGTTCTTATTTTTTTTAAAAAGCCCCTTTGAACTCAGAAGCATATGGCATCCATCATCTGCCACCTCTTCACTCTACCACTGTGTCCTCTTGACCAATCTCCCCCCGTAAGCCTGGAAAGGCCAGCAAGGTCCCGGTTACCCAGAACTGCATCTTATGTGAAATGCTAGCAAGAAGGAAAGTTGGTCACATATTTTTCCAGTGATTATAGAAAAGGCAGAGAAGAGACAGTTGGGCCAGAGTGTTTGCTGGATGATGCGAGGTATGCTGTGTGGTTCAGATCAGTTGTGGCCTGCACACRTTTTGTGCATGCCAGTGCCAATA